TTTTTTAATTTTTTTTGCAGTTTTAGATATTCATAATGGCTAAAAATTAAAATCAATATGTAATAATAAATAATATATATAATATCCCCTCCTCTTCCTCTTTCTGTAGGGGTCCCCCAAGGCTCTGTCCTTGGAACCCTCCTCTTCTCCGTGTACACTTCCTCCCTAGGTCAGTTAATAACCTCATATGGCTTCCAATACCATCTCTATGCTGATGACACTGAAATATATCTTTTTACTCCACAACTCACCCTCCTCAGTGTCCTTGCGTGTCACTAATCTACTAACTAACATATCAGTCTGGACGTCACAACACTTCTTAAAACTCAACCTTTCAAAAACTGAGCTCATGATATTTCCTCCCTCCGTGCACCTTCCCCCAATTTTTCCCTTGAGATTGATAACACGACTATCCAACCCTCCCCCCATGCCAAGGTGCTAGGTGTGATCATCCTTGACTCGGACCTCACCTTTCTTCCCCACGTCCAATCACTATCCAAATCCTGTCGTCTTCACCTTCGCAACATCTCCAAAATGCGCCCCTTCCTCACCAATGAAACAGCTACATTACTCATCCACTCACTTGCTATATCTCGTCTTGACTATTGCAACTCCCTCCTCATTGGCTTACCTCTACACAGGCTATCCCCCCTTCAGTCTATCATGAATGCAGCTGCTAGACTCATTCACCTAACCAACCGCTCAGTAAGACAGGAAGTTAGGAATAACCAGTTAGCTGTTAAAACTAACAGAGGTTCTTATCCTTCCCCACTTTACCCAAACTTAAAAAACATTTGGCTGGACATAAACGTAAGGCTAGCAGAGTCACAAATGTGTTACAATATGTTAAACAATATGACAAGTACCATACAATGTAATGTTAATTTACTGATACAGACTACACAGAACTGAATCATTTTTAACAGCTGATAATGATATAATTGGAACCCAAAGAAAGTGCTGCAACAGGCTTATCATGATTCCATTATACAGCTGGAATTTCTGTGTCAACTACTGTCAATCAATGAATTTGCTGACATTAATGATACTGACATCTCACAACAAACTAAGTGATTAGCAGAGATTAGAGGTCAATGCAAATCTGCCTGGGAATTTCTTGAGTCATAATGTGTATATCTACTGTTAGCATGAGTGCATATCAGATTTAAAGAGAAAATTATATTTTACTATTCATCAATATAACTAAATGGTAAATTAAGTGAAAACATATTTTATGGTCCAGTTAACAAGATAATTTAATTTTTATAAGCTTGAATATGACCAATTTTTTTCTTTGAATAATATATTTTACATAAGAACTACACATATACTGTATATACATTTAAAATATCAAAGCATCTTATAGTAGTGTAGTGAAACTAATGTTTATGTACTTTTTTTTTAAGGATCAGAATGTATTGAATTTTAGTTAATGCTGACATGTGGATTATTGCCAGTAGTTTCCATGTCTGGCTGTATACATGTCATCTTATAGATAACAGTATGTCAGTACATTTCATGTCCAATTAAACTGTAAGTGCTAGACCTTCAAGATAGTAGGACTATACATGTGACATTATGAAATGCAAAAGAATGGCCTGCAATGATGTGTTATTAGTTATTTATTGATTTAATGAGAGACACTGGTTTCTTTCTAACAGCAAAGCAATTGACTTATTAACAATGGCAAAGTGGAATCTTACACTCCATGTAAAACGGAGAGAAAAGTGGCTGTACTGAATTAAACAGGGTTTTAGGTTTGTTAAAGGCAAATTTTTGTAGTTTGATAAAAAAAGAAACCCGACATGGGACAAAGTCAAAAGACCCTCAGGAATTTCTTTTAAACATTTGAATGGAAATTATTTGAATCTCCATTAATATTAGTCTGCATACTGTATTTTCTATCTACTTTATTTGCAAACACTTTCTGTGTGGACAAAATGCTAAATAGTGGATGGAAAATGCAGTAATATCCTTGTGCTGTAGTGAGCCGAACAACGTTTGGCTATTCACAACAGCTCAGTATGGCTGATTTCAGCCGTACATCGGTTAAAATCAGCTGTGCATCTACTGCCTTCAGTCAGCTGAACATGCTCTGCATATTCGGCTGAGCCAAAGTGCAGAAGGACTTCGACTCAGCCGATCCAACGTCTGGATCAGCTGAGCCAAAGCTCCGGCAGCTCACTTGCTGCCGTTCGCCCCTATTCACATAGGGGCCGAACGGCAGTGAGTGAATAGCCGAATGCCACAAAGTGGCATTCGGCTCGGCTATTCTGCTCGGTACCTCCGTGGTACAGAGCAGAATAGCAAATCAATAAAAAGAGTTAAAAAAAGAAAGTTGAAAAAATATTTTTAAAATGTCAATAAATAGTAAAAATAAAAAATAAATAAAGATTTAAAAAACAATTGGGCGGGGCTGGCAGTGACAGCTAGCTCCACCCAACTGTTTTCTATTGGCTGGCACCATCTAGAGTCTTCTAGCAGGTCCCGGCCAATGAATAACAACTGGGCGGAGCCGGCCGTGACGTCATTAAAACTGAGCAGAGTCAGTCGTGAGATCTCGGTTGGCTCCACTCAGCTGTCATTTGTGGGGTCGAAAGGCCGGCCTTCGGGTGTCACTTGGGCTCAGTCGAGCAGAAGCATATGCCTTCAGCGGCTGTACAGGCTATAGTGAATAGCCCGTACAGCAGCCCTTTGGTTCGACTCAACCGAAGGGCTCTGGCGGCCGAAGAGAGCCAGAGGATCAGCCGAAGCTATGGGTGCATCCTTCGGCTCCTACATGAATAACATGAATACAGTGGGAGATGGATTAGAACCCCTTTGACTCCATTGCTATATATGCTGCAAGATAGAGGGCAGCAGTGCTCTCTAGCATGCACGGTGTGCATTAATGGGTAAGTTAACTTTCCCAAGTAATTTGGGTAAATGGAATTACCCCCTCTTATCTGGCCCCCTCTCCGCTATACTTACCTTTCCGCAAATGGTCCTTCCCCTCTGCCGGTATCCTGTACTGCCGTCCATGGATTTTGAACTTCGCTTGCAAATTGTGAGCACTCATTGGTCAGCAAGGTCACCTGACCATGCTGATCAATGAGAAGCGCTTCTTAGCACACCTAAATATGGTTTTAGTTAAAATTAGAATTTTTTGGATCAGGACAAGTAGATTGTCATGAAGGACAAGTAGACTGGGTCCCCGCTTTAATCCCTTGCTGATGTCACTACTGTGCTGCAAACTAAGAAGAGAAAGCTGCCCCTGAGGACAAGTAGTGCATGCATCAGTCTGCTCCTTCTTCACTCATTCTGTGGGTACGTGCATTCACGTACCCATCGTGCATCAGGGAAACCTATCCCACCTCAACCTAACCGCTCGACTATCACGTTCTCAAACAATTAATCCCCACCTAGCTCCCTCCTCATGTATCACTTCCCCCTCCATTTTAGATTGTAAGCCCTCAGGGGCACGGCCCTCCTTACCATCTTGTCTTGAATTGTATTGTGATTGTAACGTCTGCCCTATATTGTAAAGCGCTGCACAAACCGTTGGCGCTATATAAATCCTGTATAATAATAATAATAATTCTGAACTCCTCCTGCCTCTACTTGATTATTCCTCCATCAATCATCAGATCATCAGTTAGCGGGGGGCAGCCCTGATCTAAAGAATCAAAGCTCTGCTCCGCTAAGAAGATTGCCCTTCCACACAGAGCTACAGTGTGAAACAAGATATAATAGCTCAGTAATAGAAAGGCATCAGCTGCAAGAAACCTACAGTCAATAATGTTAAATAGTCTGCTTACCTTTTTTTTTTTTTTGGTCACAGTTCCCAGGGTTCAAGTCCTCTTTAATGTACTTTATCTCATTCAGTAATATATTTTAACTGTGCCTCAGCACAGTCCTCACAAATATTTTATTGTTCTCAAGATATATTTTTCATGTGCATATCTGAAAGGGTATTAATAAGGGTATTTGGTACTAAACTTTGTTACCTAATACAAACCTGATCAAAGTCATAAGGTCTGCCACTACTGACATTTTATTCTGCAAATGTTAGTTGTCTGACTATCATTCTGACCCTCTTGCTTTAATAAATTAAGTCACTGACCAGAACAAGTAAGCAGATAAGGAATTCTGACTTTTCACATATTCATACTTTTCTTAAGTCAGCAACTCAGACAGAATCGCAAGCAGCGGATCAGCATAACAAATCAGCTTTGCTTAAAGTGTACATAAACTTGAACAATGAACCTATTATTTGCTCCATTTTGCAAAGAAATACCTGTTGACCATGTCAGAAATTCAGAGTTGTTCTATGTCCTCTTCATATGCCTGTCCTAACTCAAGGAGGTCGACTCTTCCATTTCTTATCTTGGACAACAGAATGATTCTACTTATGTTGTGGAGGTGAGGGGGGATTCTGTAGTTTAGCAAAACAAACTGGGCTGGGCTGAAACCATTTTAAGGCACTCTGTCTGCATCCCACAACAGGTAATTAAGAGCATTTCTGGCAGATCAACAGGTAATTTGCAATATTTGCCAGGAGGTTCACTTGATTAAAGTTGGGGAAATTGAAAAGATGTACTGCATAGGTTTTGTTTTTTTTTCTTTTTGCCCTGACATACACTTTAAATAAGCAATTATGTGTTGTTTTTACTTCACACTTGTTGGGTGCTAAAAGATGATGATTAGTTACCTTTTATTTTTTTTGTTTCAATGATATTTAAAAATTTCAGTGTCAACATAAACAAGCTTTAGGAATTAAACTAGTCACACCACTACCTGTACTACCAAACAAAAGACAGCTTTAAGTTTCGTAGGAACTGTAGGAAGACCATTATAAAAAATGGCAGAGGCGATTTTGTTTGTTTTGACACAAAGCAGATATACACAAGGCACTTTGTGATTAGACACAGCAAATAAAACATGTAAACATAATTATTAATGAGATCTCTTCAGCTGGCAGAGAAATGCAAACCATCAGCCATAATGAAAAATGATCTCACCTCATACTCAAAGTCTTCAGTTCTATCTCCATCACCAGGCAGGCTGGAAAGATACTCATTACCTTCATAAAATTCATGCTCCATTGGATGAAGAGAATGGCAGCTATATGGGAAAAATTGGTGCAAGAAGGCCAGATGAGACAATGTTCTTCTTTTTAATTAAAATATGACAAACTTATCTGCGGCTTTCTCATTTCAAGAGGTTAGGATGGGTTGCTAATCTAAAGAAACACTGAACAAAAAGATATGTTTCTTTTCATTTACTGCACACTTAGAGTAGTCATTTTCATAGCTTAAATTGGATTCCAGGCAATGATCTGTGCACAAAATCAAAAGAAATACAGCAGTACATTCATAACAAAGGGCTGGCAGTGTTCCGCAGCTGCAGGATTCCAATCCATCTTTTTGAAACTCAGCCTGTCTGCTAATGAAGCCATGTCCACATTTTATATTCTGGAAAATGTGGACACAATAACTTCAATAAATACAGAAGTACACTTTGCAATAAATTGAAAATACTTTCTTGCACAATGAGTGGAAGTAAATGGCTTGATGTGGTGCTTGCTTTCTCAATTCTCTTACAAGTTTGTGTTATCTGTCTAATCTCTACATGGTGTCCAAGAGGCAAAGATTGATTAGGAAAAGAATATCATCTTTCTTTTCATTTTCAAGATAGATTTTAGGAACACGTGATGGGTCATACAATCTCGAACATGATTCTATTGATGGGGAAAAGCTGCATGACGTGAAATAAGATTCTTTGGTGTAGCTGGAACCAAATGCTGGCTGTTTTGTGTGCTGTTAGCGCTTATTGGACCTTAAGAAGAAAAAGTTCAAAGACACTATTCACGAAGAACAGCTCAAAATTACATTTATTAACACTTTAACCAGGTCTTGACTAAAATATCTGCCAGAAAAAAACCATACCTGTCTGAAAGAAGAAAAGGACAAATGTCAGGAACTGGTGGAGTGGATGGTCTGAGTTTGGCTTGAGCCATGATATGCTCAAATGTGATGTCTGTTTGGGTGCTCACATTCACAAGGTGTGCTTCCTGTGAACTTCCATGCCCTCTGTTATGGGGTGCTCTTCTTAAAACTTGGACTACTATTGGTTCTTTAGCATTCCGGAAGGCTTCAACTGCTTCTTCGTGGGTTGCCTTTGAGAGGTCTTTCCCATTAACCTGCATAGAGTACAGAAGTTATAACATTAAATGTCAGACCTTTATTACACAGACACAGTCAAATCAATTTAGGTTGATTTACTATGCGGTAATTTTCATTCTAGAAAATGTTCAGTTCAAACAGCAGAAAATCATATTCAGAGAACTTAATATATAGTATGTAACGTTCTTCTTAATCTGACTGGGTATTTAACAGTAGTTGAAGAAAAAAATTATACCTTTATGTGCACTATAGAGTGCTTGTATAATTAATTCTCCATTACTGCATATGATAAGTATGAAGTCAAGTGAGGGTGCCACCTCAGGCAATATTCATGGAGGGTGGGATTGAGGTCAAAGTGTCCATGCCATACACTGTATCATCACGCAGCTCAGTAACGCTGAACCTGATAATATAACTGGCTCGGCTTTACTGAGCTCCCTGCCCAGCTACTACTTCTGTCTCACAGGCAGGCACAGTGGCAGAACTTCTTCAGTGACAGGGAGCCTGTTAGGAGTGCAGGCTCAGTGTCGGTATGCACAGCCCTACTGGCCCCTGTCTGCTTATGTGACTGGCAGAGTGGCTGGGCAGAGACTTTTATTTAGCAACACTGAGGCCACACTTTTTAACAGGCTCTGCCCCACAGAGCTGACTGCTTGTCAGGATGCGCACACACACACACAGGTAGAGCAACCGCTGCCTGAGGGGGCCATCTTTGCTCCTGTATTGGGGGCAGCAAAAATGGCCCCGTCGGATAGCTTCCCCTCCTTTGGTACTGCCCTAAGTATAGGTGAGATAATATTTCACTCAATGTGATCCTCTTGCTTTGTACATGGAAAGATATGGTCGCATATATGAATTTATCTGTGTGTTTAGCTGTTTGCTTGGAGCTCAGCCTTTAAGGAAAAACTGTCACCTTGCCCAATGGAGGGCAAAGTGAGTGTGTTTGTAACCCCCCCTCCCCCAGTTATATTTATCTTACAGAACTCCCTCAAAGCACCTAACTCTTCTCCAGGCAGCAATGAATTCCAAGGTTGTAGGATGTTGGACTCAGGTTTTTGTTGAAGAATATGCTGTACCCAAAACAGCATCACGACTTTGGCATATAGTTCTGCAGAAGCGATGATCACCATTAGGCTTGGTGTAGATGGGATTTTGTTAACGCCAGGACTGCTCCTCAAACCACACAAGTCAATAGGAATGAAAAAACAGCCTGAAGCAGACTGATGTGGCTTAGAAGGAGGTCAAACTTAGGTCAGAATGAGGTCAACTGCAAATCAAACGCACTCATTGAACTCTCAGTGGTGTCAGAAGTGCCTAAAATTGATGTCAAATGCAACATTATCGTTTTTTTAGCATAAAGCAGTATGAGCCATCATTCTGTGAGGATGAATTTTATTTGCAAGGACTGGGAAACTGGTCAGAACTGAAGGCAGGATGGATGGAGCTAAATGCAGGGCAGTTCTAGAGAAAACCCTGTCTGAGACTGGCTAGAGGTTCAGGATCCAGAAAGACAGTGACCCCTAACACATAGGCGGACACAATATACTGGAAAAAATAAAACTGAAAAATAAAAGCCCAGCTGTAAATGCTAATGGGAATCACAAGTACCAATGTACCAAGACTTAATAATTTCTCTTCCTCATCCAACTTGGAGTTGGGTCACTTACAAAGGAAAATTTCAGGATCCAGATGTGGATAGCTGTTATAGAATTACCCCAAAAGATTCAAAGTGGGTAAGTGGGGTGAACAATTGTGCAATCAGCAACATTTCATAGCATTAAATTGATTTATGGCAAAACCACCTAAAAAAGATATGCATTTTCATATTCACACATTTTTATACTATACATGTACTATGTCAATGCCTTTTTTAAAATTAGTAACATTTAACTTTTGACCTTTTAATAGATCAGCCTTGTACATTCTGTATCTGATACAAGCAGTTATGACACTGGTAGAAGTTCACCAACATACTGCTAGTTAGCAGTAAAGGTCAACAGTGCATAAATCACACTTTATACTATTAAAATAGATTTAATTGCATGTAACCTAAAGTCCTGTCTGTGATAGTTAAAATGTAAAATGTAAAATTGTTGCTCCTGTTAAATTAGGACTATAGATGAGCAATCTGGTTTGCAATTCTGACAAATTCAGTCAATTTCCAATTTATCTGAATATATATGACAGACTCAAGTTTGCACGTCCACAAATTAGCTTGACAGCGACATTTTCATAGTGCTGTCACTGGTCTTCTAATGCTGTCAATCTCTTGTCCATGAAATATGTGCTGTTGTAAGCTGCTTTAGCGTATTTTACAAACTGTGCAACAATGTTTGTACATAAAACATAAATCTGGCCATACAAGTATAAATAAATGTATCAAACTGCTACCGCACGGGGGACCTAACTCGTCTCCGCCGGGAAACTGGCTCTGAAATTCCGGCCTTTTTCCAACTCCGACATCACTTCCAAATATATGGCTGTAAGTTTTTTACTATTTGGAATTCATACAAATATATACTTGACACAAAGTATAAATTTGTAGATCATACAAATATACTTGGTAAATAAAGCATAAATCTGCAGGCCGTACAACTTTATTTTGTATTGAGAGAGAATGTACCTACTTTACCCATCTGTACTGTTTTTTTATTTCATTTATTTCTTACTTCAGCTATTATTTTATGTACTTGAAGCATCCCCTTATCCCTTAACAAGAAGCATTTACTGTGCTCATTAAAGCCTAGAAATAAAGAGCAAAACACTCCCAAGCTAGCATCAGTTTAATATAATTTTTTTCATGACCAAATCTAAATGCAATAGAAAGCCAAATGATATATTTAAACTGACACTATGGCCATTCTAAATGTCATACATTAACATATGTATCCTCTAAACACATCCAATAAGCTGACACTTTTGCCCATATAAGGTCAAAGACAATAAAGTGGTAGGTAATGATCAGTCAATGAACATAACTAATTTCCCTATTACTGTCAGCCAAATGACTGCCAACGACCACATAGCAACAATATAGTGAAAGTTACTTTTCTGCGCATAATAACAAATATGAAGTTCTTTTCTTTTTTAACAAGCATGTAATCAACTTTGACATTTTCATTGGTTCGTCTCAATATATGTCTCCACCCAAAACCAATACTTCATTTTTAAAAGGGTACTGGAGGATTAAATTCCATCTTGTTTTTTTTTTTATTTAGCAGAATTCCATTGGTTAGATTTCTCTACTTTATGTTGTTGTCCCTATCACTACCCAAATGGGCACGGCATCTGTGTCAGGAAAACCACTACTGTTATTTGTGTATTTTACTTTATTAAGGTAGTGTGGCATGACTCCATTACTGGGGTATTGCTCAGAATAGCTGTATTATTTGGACAGGACTGAGAATATTTAGTGGTGACATCTCATCAGAAATGAGAGTACCTGAAATATATCAAATGGAGCATGATTCAACTTGCCAGTAAAAAGTCTTTGGATGGAGCAGCCCCTCGACTAAATAAATGTCTAAATAGGTTATCTTTTACTGTAGTTCTTGGGTTGCTAAGATGCAGTTGACCAAGTGCATAAAGTATACCAATCAGCCAGCATCACCTTTTGTTTTCCGAGCTGCTCTAATCTGGTAACAGGTTAAATCTGAATTATGCATTACTTCATTGCAGTCATCCATAGCAGGCCTTGTAGTATTGTATATACAAGTATGAACAAAAAAAAGCTGAAAAAATATGTATAAACTGCCATTTTTATTAGCTCATCTGTGGTCAAACTGTAAACATAAATATATTGACATATTCCTATCATGAATTACATGAATTTTAAAACAAATTCCAACTGACCTCTATAGGTGCAAACACAGTGAAGCAATTCATACTCAAAGTTCACAAAAGAAGCACTGAAGCTGTTTTCCTCAGCAACTCAGCTTCCCCTGTAAAGCTTTACATTTGTATTTAAATTATTTATTTACTTGTGTCTATTTAAATTACAGTACCCGTCAGGGATACCGGCACAGGTGACCCCACCCCTGCGCAGGTACCCACACAGGCAGACCAAACACTTATGACCACACCGGACAGGGCAGAATGTATTATATACAGTTTAATAAACAGAAAAACTAAACAACACCCAAAAACAAACATAAATAAGTAACATCAACCAGACTACAAGCAGGTAATGGCAACAGGAGGACAAGCAGGTAATGGCAACAGGAGGAAAGGCAGGTAATGGCAACAAGAGGACAAGCAGGTAATGGCAACAGGAGGAAAGGCAGGTAATTGCAACAAGAGGTATCTAGGACTGCAAATGGGTAACCGGGCTCTGGACACAAACAGGGTACAGGACTGGTAACAGGACTCTGGACGGAAAGCAGGGTTCACCGGAACTGGGGACTCAGGGTTCAAGTTTCAGGAAACAGGAAACAATACTGAGCCATCATCCTGACTGCAGGGAGGGTTTAAATATCCTCCCAGGAAGCACCAGGTGATGGCTAAGTACTGGCAGCTGGGAAACACCCGCAGGTGAGCACTGGAGCTGCAGGTCTCAGCTCCTGCGCCACCTAGAGGCGCTCTGGATCCTAACAGTACCTCATTGATTATTCCATTTCAAACAAATTTTAAATATATATTTTGCCTGCTAATCAAAAATGCTACTCTAATTCCCAATTAGTATAAGCGTTATGTGTGAGTTATATTTTTGAACCCAGCAAAATAATTTCAGATATATTAGAACATTACTGTAGTCCATGTTTCTGGTTTTCAGGTTAATCAAGCATTAAGGTAAATTTAGGCTTCTATTTAGGTTAGTGATTTAGTAACGAAATGGCCTGCATCAAAATTAGCCTTTTACTGTCATCTATCAGCCTTCCAATTCCTATGGCCATGACAATACTTCATCTGGACTGGAAGTCTCACCCACTATGAAATCTCATATTTCGAACTTCAGACACCATTCTGGCAGCAAGTCCTTTCTGGTCAGTATATGTGAATTGACCTGCCATGCCCACCT